CTTTCTGAATGCAGGAAATGAGGTGTATGACCACGTACTGCCCTGCTCACTGTCCACGTTCAAGACTTGTGTTAAAATACATGCTGAACACAGCCAGCTAGAAAAATGACCCCGAAGTATAGCCTTCGGCTCCTCTACCCACAGACGACTGAAAACATTGGCAAGTCTGTCACCTAGGCTGTTGCCACTTGAATAAAAATGAGATCTATTTCCAGCTAGAAAACTTTTGCTTTCTCTAGTGGGATGAGTTGCTTGGCTGTTTTTCCAAGTTAAAGAAGGCACAGAGTCTCGTGTGCTTCTCCCCAACTCTTTCACCTGCACTATTCTGTATTCATCCTTTATGAGGAAGAGAGGGTGAGAGTTCTGGGTTGGCATTGCTTTGTCGCCAGTGACATGGAGCAGTACTTGAGGAGGGAGGTGTGCAGGAGGCTAGATTGTGGGTGGAAATTATGGAATTGGGTTGATCTTAACTGGATATCTGAGCCTGGTGGAGAGAAGATGGGAAAGGTCGCCATTTGTGTCTTCGGAGCTATCCCAGAGAAGCTTGGGAGTCCACAGACTGTGATCTTCAGTCACAGCCTGATGTATTTTTTTTTTTTTTTTGTGGTCCTGATTAAAAAGTTGGGGCCAATAATATTTAGGAGAACTTAAATAAAAATAGGATCGCTTGTTCTTCTCATAAAACCTGAAGCCCTTCATTGCACATGAGAGCAAATTTGCTAATATCCCTAACATAGCACACCCTTCAAAATCCTAATACTTGTGTACCTGATTGGCTTTGATTGTGTGTGTTATAGGCAAGGGTTAAAAGCTATTTGGTTTATCAGCCCTGAATTTGCAACTACAAAGAATTTAAGTATAACTGGTTCTGCAGAGGAAAGATATTTTACATCCCCATAAGGTGACAAAAATGTAATCATCAACCTTAAAAACAGCTTACATTTGTTATGTATGCACTTAGCTGGACCTTATGCGAAGCATTTTACATGGATTAACCCTTGAGTTTTTATGGGCCCATTTTTACAGATGAGAAAACCAAAATGTAAAGAGATTTAATTGAGATTATCCTATACCTAGGTTGTATTCTATTCAGAGCATGCCTGTACAAGACCATTCTTAACTGAAAATAAATCCTGAAAGAGCTGGATGGTATTTTTTTAAGCAGCTAGAGGGATCTAGCATTTGTTAAACAGTGGACTTTCATTTACTGCAAATTTTGCGCAGTGAATGATTAATATTTTAATTTGCTGACATAAAATTTACATAAAATGCCACTTTACTATAACTTGTCCAAGATCAAGTCATACTAGTGACTCTGATTCCAAAGTCATAATTAATGTAAAATATGCTCCCACAAACATTATAGTATGACATTTTTAAACCTTTTTTTGTGGGCCCGAGCCTCCGCCCCAGGACCTTCTACTACCTACCCCCTCAGTTCCTGGTATGATTTATTAGAGAAGTAATAAGACTAAGCAGAGGGTGGAGGTGCCCCTTTTCTACCTGTGGGTCTCAAAAATGATCACCTTTGCTGAATGGACAGTGAAGGTTGCTGATACTAATCTTGAGAAACGGTTTTTACACACATACAATCAAGCTATAGTTGACTGTACTCAGGAACATTTTGTTTAGGCATCACAATGAAAATCCTAGACTTCTGTTTTTCAACTGTACCTTTTTATGGTCTTTTTATGTGGTCAGCCCTCCAACAATTCTTAACAATCACTGTTTTCTGTCCTGCTAGTGACTTTTGGGGAGCAGAGTTTGATACTTGGATTTGGCTGTTGCTGTTCTGTATGTTTGTGTACATTTCAAACAATGCACACATTTCCTGCTGGAATACAGCTGCATAGGTAGGTCTAGAGCACACATCTCTGGTCTAGAGCCAGCCCCGGAACACCTGGCTAGGCCTTCCTGTCATTTCCTGCGGCTGCAGAGCTATAGTGAGACCTCTGGGAATGGGAGGAGGGGGAAGGAGAGAGAATGGTGATGCACAGGTGCTCTGTGGATCCTTCCGCACACCTAAGAATAGAGCAACAGGACTACACAGTGTGCGCTACTGTAGGTGACACTGAGGTGTTACTAACCTTATGTAAATTTCTCATATTAATCCAGTCTGGAAGTTTTAGTAAACAAAAAGCCTTTAATAAAGAAGACATCCTTCTGATACGTGGCATTGTTATTGCTTGGCGTGTCTGTTGCATACGTTCTCCATCTCTGCTCTTTTAACAATAAAGCAGTAAGTATTTTCTTCCATGAAACACTCTAGAACCCTTCCTCGGCTTGATGAGGCTTAGATAGCAACTCCGTTGAAACGATCAGTTTCCTGAGTTTGTTACTGCCCCGTGCACAAATTGGCACAGAAGTGAATGGCTATTTGTTTAATAAGTGCGGTTTGCTCAGTGGATCCTTAGCCTCGTAATTTTAGACCCTGTTAAAGATCAGCAAGCAGTTGGGAATGTGCCCAAGCCAAGACCCATATCCTGTGGCATTCATTCAGAAAACTCACTGATGCCATTGGACAGTGTTGTTTCTACAGGCCCACTGAGGCTCGCAATGATTTCCTTCCATTGTTTCCCACTTGATGCACGTGGCTTCTGCAACTAGGAGAAAGGGTGCATATTAGGGAACACGATCTCTTCCTTTCTGTTAAGCAACCAGATACTTTACGTACATTTGGGTTTTTTTTTTTTTTTTTTTTTTGGTCCTAATAGTAGGTCTTTTAAAGCAGCAATTAATAGGACGGGCTTTTATGAAGTTCTTTCTTTCTTTCTTTTTTTTCAGTATTATCATCTAAGCTTAATTCTGAGGTGAATAAGCAGTTCAGAATGCCCTGAAAAACTGTTGCCTTCCTGGGGTTGTTGCTTAGTTGAGCTCTTAGGTTTTCTTTGATGTTGGGAGCCATGAAATCCCAAGCCCTCTTTATAAGAAAGAAACTGAGCCTGGCATCACACAATTAGTTGTAAGTTATAGAGTGTAGATGGCAGGCATCCAGTCCACTGACCTTTTGCTTAAGAATATAACAGAGTGTGGATGGAAGATTTTTCTTGTCAGACTCAATACTGGCAGGAGGCTGCGATGGGGGAGGGGAATCTAGCTAGTAGTTTGTGACCTGAGTGACTTTCGTTATTGGCATAGCAGTGACACTTATAAACCTAGCTACTTCCGGGGCTGGGTAATTCCCCACTCCTTACAGGTGACTTCACTGGTCTGCTTCTTTCCGGGTAGACCCATCAGTTCTGTCTGCTCCCAAGGCGTGTTCTGCTTGTTGGTACCATCAGCTTTAAAACTTTATTACAAGTTACCTCAAAATTTCAGAAAAGTATTGATGTTACATTCTAAGGAATGACACTGCAATGACAATTTCAAGGTAGAACATGGGTATTGTTAGGTGTGTGGGGATATAAAGTATTGAGAGATACAGTGATAAAAACATCACAATTACTGTAAAGCCAGGTTACCATTCCGCCTTATCCTAGGAGGCAGATGTGTAGTTCCATGCTTTCAGGCTACTGTTGGGAGTGATAACAGCTACATTAAGGCTGATTCATTGAACTGTTAGTGCATTAGTTTGGGGCTATACCCAATTGGTCATTTTAGCAATGTAGCAGCCTGCTATTTATCAGGACATAGTACAACCTGATATCCCACATGTATGCTTAAAGGTAGATTTTTTTTTTTTTAATGGCAGAAAGAGCTACTGACCTAGGTAGGATGTAAAGTGACTTTTTAAAGAAAGAGCCATTCACCAATTGTTTATTCATCACATTTTCAATAAACACCTTCTATGAGTCAGGCACTGTCCTAGGTGCTAAGAATACATCAGTGACCAGAATAGGCAAAACTTTCCCTGCCCTCATTTGATGTTATCAATTCCAGGATCTTCTTTAGACTTACAGAATTCCTTAAAAATGTTTTTAAATATAGCTATGTCCTATAAAGAGAAGAAAAGGCTTTCTGTATTTTGCCTTTTTTCCTATTTTCTGTTATAATTTTCCATGGATCAATTAGACATTTGTTATTGTCTAATCTTAACTTTCAAATATTAATTTTCACTGGAACTTTTAAAATGGCTTTCTATTTTATTCTGCCACCTGGTTGGTACAGGTAGCAGCTAGACAAAGGAAAAGAACTTCAGATTAGCATCTGACTTGATAATTACCAGGTAGGAGGGAGACAAGCATTAAGGAACACCTACTGAGATACTCCTGTAGCTTTTTCCCTGAAAGGGACCTCCCTCTGTGTTCTGGCTGTCAGGTTAGAGCATAGCTTCTGATTGACTCCTCTCTCCCTTCTGCCCTGTGTGTTTCAGTGAGTAAGCCTGATCTTTCTTTCCTTTGTGAAATCTCTCTCTTTGTAAACAAGATAACATGATTCCATAATTTGGGGTACTTCTACGTGGGCATTATCCCTAAACTCCATACATGGTGATTTTGATTTTGTAGTTCTAGGATAAAAACCTAGAAACTGCTTTTCCAAAGGGAATATTAAAGAAAGATGTTGGGGATGGTGAAACAAGCTTGTACTTCTAGCACTCTGGGATGCTGTGGCAGGAGGATCATAAGTTTCCCTGGCCCTGGCAACTTAGTGATTTAACAAGACCCTGTCTCAAAAAAAAAAAATTTAAAAAAAATTCTTAGAGATGTAGCTGGGTTTGGTCCTCAGAATCACTTAACCAAAAAAAAAAAAAAAAAAAAAAAAAAAGACGAAAGACAGAGCATCTTAATACTTTAAGAAAAACTGTCTAAAATGTTCTAGAACTGTGAGAATATTGAACCACTTTCCACTGGGCTGAACCATGGGGGGTGACCTGCCTGTAAATCTTAAGCTATGTGAATCTTGTTTTAATAGTCTGAATTTATGTACTGTGCATGTAGTTAAGAAGCCAGCAAGGATATAAATGTCCCATAGCACCCAAGACGACTTACTTCTCTGTTCAGCAGTATGTGGGGAGAATTGTATCAGCTTTGTTAACCAGCTCTCTTGGCGTTTCTCTGTAGGCAATGGTGGCCTGCTACCCAGGAAATGGCACAGGTTATGTTCGCCATGTGGACAACCCCAATGGTGACGGCCGCTGCATCACCTGCATCTACTATCTGAACAAGAACTGGGATGCCAAGGTACTTAGGAGAAATGAAGGCGTATACAGGGCTATGTCAGACGAGGAGCAGATAAGGTGGCCTAAGAGTTTAGCAAAAAGCCTGTGCAATTTCCACCTAGGAAAAGAATTTAGATAACCGAGAGGAGAGTTTTTGAGTTCCTAATAGCCTTGCAATCCATGATGAATCTTTTCTATTTCTGTTTTATATTTTCCCTCCCCCTTGCCTATAGAATTAGTAGTAAAGTTGATGAGGTAAAAAGCAATGGATATGAAGTTAATTTAGAGGCGAGTAGGTAGGGTGATTATTAGGGTGTGTGGTGGGAGTGATGAAAGGAAAATAATTTGATATTAGAATTAAGAGTCAGTTTTTAAAGTCTGTTCAGGGCCACTGTGATTCTTAATGGAGAATAGTATATACACTTCTCCCTTCCAGCAACAACATTTAAGAGAATGCCATAAAAATAGAACTGTAGGATATAAAGCCATCTCCCAGAAAGATTTCCCACACAGTTCTCTTTCTCAGGGTGACACGTCTCATTGGTGGCTGCTTGCCATGGCTTACTATAGTTTGTGAAAGCCAAAGGCTTTGTGTATTACACATTACGGAGCATATAGTTAGAGATACGAAGTCTGGTTCCACGCTAATAAACATTTGTCTGCACTTTGTATGCTCTCTGAAAGTTAAGAATGATTTAGGAGTCTGGGAAGTCAGAGAACTTTTCAAGCTTATTTGGCTTTTGAACCTTCTGCATCTCCATTTCCTGTTCATTAGGGCAGACTCTGGCTGTCATAAAGCAATGATATTTTATCTGGGGTCAGAAAATGAGAGCTGGGAAACCAGTGAATCAGTGGAAAGGCTTATCTCTTGTTGTTGGGTAACACGACTGGAATATACCCATTAGTTCTCTTTTAAAATTCTTAAAGGTGCTATAATGTGCAAAGTTATCTGGTGAGTAACAGTAAATTGCAAAGTATGAAATCAAGAAATATTTGAGTTCCCGTTAGTGTTAGGCATTGAACTGTGGGGGAAATAGTGATGTGTGGAGCCTGAATTCAACCCAGAATTTGGTTATTCTGGTAGGACAGACTGGATATACATTTTTAAAAAAGTCATAAAATGTACAGATAAAGTAGTCTGAGAGTTTAGAAAAAAGAACATATACCATTCAACTAACAAGGTCAGAGAGGAGTGAGTGTTGAGAAGAAAGCTATAAATTCTAATTGAAGGGGAAGTTATATATAGTGAGTATCTTAGGAAGCTGTTAATATTAAGTAGAACCATATAAAGTTTTTTTTTAAAGTCAAAACCAAATATTAGCGACTCTGAATAATGCAGCCTAATAGTACTCTTTTTGTGTCTGTGGCTTCATGAGTATAGGAATGGGAAGGCTTTTGATAAGGTGAATAAGGATATATCTCTAGTTAAGTTTGAAATTGGGTGCAAAATATGAGAGTGAAGTGAAGATTTGGGGGTAAAGTACACTTGGAGTGAACATTGCAAGATGGCATTGTTTCTAGATGAGGCTAAAGTACACTTGTTGACAAACTATATGTGAAGTTAAGAAATAATCTGCCTTCTTTGTGATCCTCAGCTACATGGAGGAGTCCTGCGGATATTTCCAGAAGGGAAATCATTCATTGCAGATGTGGAGCCCATTTTTGACAGACTCTTGTTCTTCTGGTCAGATCGCAGGAACCCACACGAAGTTCAGCCTTCCTATGCAACTAGGTAATAGCATGGGCTCTGATTCCTCTTTGGGAGCTTGTTGTACAAATCCCAATTCCCAGAGAACTCTATAAACTTGTGTCCTGTGTGTATGAGGGACTGGTCACACTTGAAGGTGATACTTGTTTGGAGTTACAAAAATAAAAGGGGACACTTTGGATATTTTGATTTGTAAATCTAACTTCAGTTTGAAATTATTTTCTGTTAAGTGAGCATATTGGGTGGCAGATTTCTCAGTGGTTTTCCTCCTTCTCCTCTTCCTCCTCTTTCTTTCCTCTTCTAAAACAACCTAATGTTAAACTACCTCAAAAGAAGGTTAGCTATCACATACTAGGAATTCTATGTGGTTTCTGCAGATGAATTAATAAGTTGCCAGTTGCAAGCAGGTAAAGAACCTTGAGAAAAGAAGAGTAATTTGTTCTGATTTCTTTTTCGTATTTACCTGTTTTAGTTACTTGTATTGTTGCTGGAACAAAATACCTGACACTCAAAGCTAAAGGAAGAAAGCTTTATTTTGGGTCACAGTTTTTAAAGGTTTCAGTCCATAATTGGCTGGCTGTGAGGCAGGGTGGTATGGCAGAGGGCATCACAGAGCAGAAGACAAGCAGTAGCAACAATAAGCACCAAGCAACAAGAAGTGACCATAGCTCTTCCTGTCCCTTATATCTTCCCTAGGCTACTTGCCCTTAGGGTGGCTAGCACTCACACCCTTAATCTTAGCATCCCTTGAATCAATCCCAGAATCAGCATGAACCCTAGCTCCAGGCATCTCCAAAAAACCCACCTATGACCACATGAGGCTTTGAGGGGACATGTAGCAAGCCATAACATTACCCTTTCATTAGTTTAAAGCTGGCTTGGGCTGACTGTATCCAGATCTCAATAATTAGATACTTTTTTAAAAGAAAATTTTTTTACAACATAGATATAAAGATTATCAGAGTAACTTAATGTTGTTTAATATTAATCTAAGGAGTTCTTGATAAAAATCTTAACGTGTGGTTCTGCCTTTTATTTGCCTTTGTTTTATAGCCTAAGCTGTAAATTGGGTAGTACTGGAGTGAGGCAGAATACAGCTTGTACTGGGTATAGCACATGAGGGCCAGGGGAAAGGGCTTTGGTAGGATGATTATTAAACCTCAACAAATCTAATCTGATTAAAACCCATGTGTATCCCCCTTCAGAAATCACCCATCTGAGCTCCAGAGTTAATTTAAATATTACATGCCAAGTTAGAATGTGCTCTAGATGAACAAGTAACTACATGTACCACTGAAGTCTGCTTGTGGCTTGTTTTATAGGGCACAATAGTGGCAGTATCCTCTAGTTATTTCCTACTCCCACAGTGAGTAATTTTACAGACAAAACATTAGCAAATGTTGATGGAAAGCCCTTGGGGAGACAGATCAAATGCTATAGAAATCATTATGGTTATAATATTTATAAAGTGAAACTTTTAAAAACACCAGCATGAAATGGCCCCTCTTTCAGTCTATCCCAATGGGATAAAGCAGATTAATTGAAATACAGTAGAAAGCTTGGAAGCATCATTATTCATTACATTTTTGCTTCTATATTCAAAACTAAAGAAGCAACCCAAGAGTTCTAATCATTCTGTGATTTAAATAAGTTATTCTTTGGGCTGGGGATTTAGCTCAGTGGCATAAGCGCTTGCCTTGCAAGTGTGTGATCATGAGTTCGATCCTCGATACTGATAAAAAAGAAAAAGACAAAAAATAAATAAGTTATTTTTCAAACGTTATCTCTGTTGCTCTGTTGTCTCCATGCCACCTTGAGCCTCTCAGTCTTCAGCAGGATGACTCCCTTTCAGGCTTAGACTTGTGCACTGTCTGTTAAATCCTCCTGCTAGAGCCTGAAGTTCTTGAGGAAGCTCTGTTGAAGAGATCATTTGAATTTTCGGTGTCCAAAATAATGCCTGACATATACTTGGAAATCCTCTTGTGTTTTATTACATGTTAAACAGAATTGAAACCAGAGAAATCAGTGTTAAACTTAAATTGGTACTGGACTTCAAATAATAGGTAAAACTTTAAATGTTGGTTTTACAAATGACTTTTTGGAAAACTTATAATAAACTTTTTTTTTTTTTGGTACTCCAGATATGCCATGACTGTTTGGTACTTTGATGCTGAAGAAAGAGCAGAAGCCAAGAAGAAATTCAGGAATTTAACTAGTATGTATCTGATATTTTCAGTAATTTTTTAAAAATTAAGTTAATCCATGAATTTTATTTGGCTTTATATATTTTATAATATACTGTTTAGTCTCAGTTCTGGCTTATTTCCATAAGTGATGACATCTAGATGGGTTTAATCTTAAAACCTTGGCCTAAGCACCCTTAGAAAAATCAGAAAAAAATACAAAGAATATCCCTTCTATATCCCTTCCAATTATGTGATGATTTTGAATAGATGGAAATAATTACCTGTAATCATTTGTTTTAATGTCACATATTATGTTAAATTTTGGTATGTTACAAAGAAAATATAAAGAATCAGCTAAAATGACTAATTTATCATATTGGCATGTGACTGTGACTCTCAGTTTGAAAGCAGGGTTTATGCAGTGTTGGACCAGGCAATGTTTATTGAAGAAACGGATGTAACACAAGATGTACAACTATATAAGAATTTACAAGATTGGTTTACAATGGCCACCCACGGAGTTGAGTGTGGAAGAGTGCGTAGGGTGTGTCTGCAATCTGGAAACCTAACAATACAGTTGAAGCCTGGAGCTCAGTGCAGTGTCCCATGTGAGTCTGAATTGGAGTTCTGCAATGGAAGCCTGAAGAATCTACACCAGAAAGCTGAAGATTCTGCTAGAAGAAGCTGAAGAATCTGAGCTGGAAGCCAGGAGATGGTATCCAAGGTGAAGGAGAAGACTGGAGCACCTGTGAAGACACAAGACGCAGAAGCATCCTCCTTCATCCTTGCTTTATACCGTCCAGGAGGGGAGACGCGCTGGAGTGGGTCCTCCACGCACACCCGTGGGTGTGGAATTGCTGAGCCAATTTAATTGAATGTCCCTTATACAAGTTGACACAGTCAACCATCACAAATATAAATTAAATATAACTTAATTCCATTCTTTTTTTTTCCAACCAGTATGGTGAGACAGCTTTTCTCAAAATACATTGTACTAAAACACTAATCCTGCCAAATTGGCTCATAAAAAGGTAAATTTCTAGTCCCCCAAATGTAGGAAATACTGCATACTGCATCCTTCTATTGAATAGTGCTCGTTAGCATATTAAGCTAAAGCTCTAAGAAGACTTGCAAAAGTGGCTGCAGATGTCGCTAACTGCTAGAACACTTGTCCAGCACGTGTAGGTTCTGGATACAATCTCCAGCATTGCCAAAAATAAAAGAAAAAATTCTTGCGATGAAGAAAGAATTTGTAACATTGCCTACCTAGCTCATGACCCATTTGAGCTGTACACCTAATCAAGCACCAAAAGAGGACATTTTTGTGAAGCTGTATCAGGAGGCTTGCTTTGCTTTATAAAATGAGAACTGTTTACTGGAGTGTTATATTTGTGACATAAAATTCACCAGAGTTGACCCTCAATCTTCTTTATTCTCTTTTCTGTTCCCACCCAGGGGAAACTGAATCTGCCCTCACTGAAGACTGAATGTGCTCTGAAATCTGCTGGCCTCCTTCATTTTGGTATCAGCTAAATTCTCTGTAACAGTTGAGATCCAAAGATGGCCTCTTCAGTGACCATAGATTACTCCCTCCTGCTTCCATCATTTGCATCCCTGTCTTGTGTGTGGTACTTCTTGTTTTCTTGCCAGGACTGCATTGATCTCCAGACACACTCTTTGCCAGACATGAACTCACTTGAAACTCCAGAAATGCCTACAGATATCCTTGTTGGTCAGCGGTCTAAGGATAGATTTGGTGATGCTGACTATCAAAGCAAGAGCCCGAGAACACAGGAGCGAATCTTACTTGCACTTTATTCTTCCTGATATGAAAGGAGGAGGTTTGCAAAGAAAAAAAATTTGGTGATAGAGGCATCAGTGAAGCCTGAACAGCAGAAAACTGAAATTGTGTCATCTGAACAATTTCCAGATGTTGTTAATCCAGGGCTGTTGGGGTTTCTGGAAAATTACCACAACATAATGACATGATTACCTCTAGAAAGGGCTGATGTCAGAGTGATCAAGTTATTAGTGTCCCGTGGGTGGACACTCCTTTTTCCTTTCCCACCACTTGGACTCTTGGCCTCAGCCCCATTTTCACTGAAAATGATTTTCTAATTGAGAATGACACAACCACTTGTTCTATATGTTGACTTTTTACTGGGAGACTAATTACTCAGAGGCTAAAACTAGGTATTAGTTGTTTTGGTTGCTTTTTTGGAGTTTGAATTTAAATAAAAAAAAAAAAGAAAACTACCTGATAGTTTAGTGTCAGGCTCCGGTGACAGTGTGGGAAAATTCAGGTCTGCTGACATACAGTAAAAGTGTGTATCATGAAAAATTTGAGAGGGAAGATGGAACTGTAAATGTGGGTATTCCCATTTTTTCAGTATTCCTTTTTAATGAGCTCACCTTTCTTTAACAACAACAACAAAAAAAAAATAGGGTGCTATGTTTTAAAAAGGAAATGGAAATAAAAGAATTATCAAAGCTGTTTGACGTCTTCTGTATTGTCTGTCCTTATGAGAACCAACACTCATACGGACACATAGAGCCAACACTTTATTGGCAGTGTGGCCAGAACCATGGAATTTTCTAGAACTGGGGGAGGTTCCACACCGTGCTTTTCTACTTCAGTAGGCAAATTTCAACACCTCAAGAACTCTTATTTGAGTCAGCATCTATTTTATGAAAGTTACCCTTCCTAATTTTCAGCTCCACTTTCATATTTCTAAAATCTCTTCAGTTTCCTGCTTGAAAAGCCTATGAATGTTAAAGGGCCAGAAATGTTTTCTTTTGTCATGTGTGGAAATACAGAGTTTCCAATAAAGAAGTTTATTTTCTCCTTTTATGGTTTTGGAAAATTTTCAGATAAGCCCTGTTGTCATTAGTTCTCACAGTTGCTCTATTTTGTTTTGAATAGTAGTCCTGATCACCTTCTAGTTGACTTACTATGTAATTTACTTATTTATTATGTTTATGGTTTTACACATAAGCACAATGAAGACAGGATTTCAAATGTTTTTAATCAATACAATATATTTCCAACACCTAAAATAGTGCCTTGCACCTAGTAAGGGCTGAGTGAATATTTGTTGAATAAACTTAGTCTCTTTTGTTAGCATTGCATGGTTTGATTTATTTTCTTGTCATTGACAGAAAAAGCTTGCTTATTGTTGTTGACTTGTCCATTAGGCTAAGAATTTTAGAAAGCTTTGACTGTAGTGTCATTCTATGATTTTGACCACAAGGAATCTAAAAATTGAGTAAATCAATTTTGTATTTTGGGATTAGAAGTAACAGAAGAGTAGCTTCAGTTAGGACAGAGTACTATCCGTTGGGACATTCCTCCTTCACAATAGTTTTTGAAGCATTCAGTAAGGAACAAGGAAGATAGCTTATTTATTAGGAATTTTATACTCGATAAAATGATAACATTTTTCCACAATTACTAATGTCATAAAAATGATAGTGATAATATTCTGAAGGAATATCATGTAGTTCCAATGGCATGTCTTGTATTATTTTAATCCTTCATTTTAGTCAGTATTTTGTCTTGCCAAGAGATCTGACCTCTTAGGTTTTGCTTATTTTTTTTACGGAAAGATCTTTTAAACTAATAAGCTGTACAACAAATCACATTTTCATTCACACTATTTTCTTTTCATGGCTGAATTTGAGTCCTGCAAGATTAAGCTGGAAAATACAACTTTAATACTATCTGCCTTTTGCTGCTGCCTTTGATAGCCCATTTAGGGGAGGACTTAGCCTTGCTGAAGAAACATTATTTGGCAAATAATTTGATCAATTTCATTTATATTCCTGGCAATGAAATGTTAAGAGCCTACCTTACCATTACATCATCTATTTAGTGCAGAGTCCTTGGTAGGAGATTAGATTTTGAACCAAAGATCCAATTTCATGGAAATAAAGTCTTACCTAAGTGCATTAAATAGATCTTTAGTAGAGTAGTTAATACCAATTAAATGTTGATCTGTCTGAATCATAAATTATCCATTCAGGCATGATTTTATTTTTCTTTAAATAACTTTCTAGAGACTAGTTCATCTTCATTTCTTTTGGCCACCCAGATTTGAAATTTCCTGTGTTTTACAAAGCAATGATGGGAAATGCCATGAAGGGTCAGCAATTTATGTAAGACAGGAGGCAGTGTTAGGTACCTTGCATTTGATCAACCATAAGGACAAACACAAAGGATAGTCTTAGTGAAGTTTTAAATAGAATGAATATAAAATTGACTTGGCTTCTCTTTGAGTCTTTTGAATGGCATGAAAATAATACCGGATAGTGAGATCAGAACAGAGAGAAATACATGGTTCTCTTCAAAATAAAGCTTGCATTTGTACTTTGTTGGTTGCTATATGCTAGTTTATGTTAAAGATGCAGCCTACCCAGTCTTTTCTCATCCAGACATGCTTTAAAACATGTTACTTCTCACTGTGTTGAAAAGTTAGTTCCATTCAGATGCTGAATTTAACATGGTTTATCTCCTTTACATTTGCAAAGTTGCAAGGTCAGGGCTTGTACCGAAGCAGAGAACAATGGGCAAGTTGACTCAGTACTCAGAGAAAACCTATGTGCTGGAGCCTGTGCTACGTGCTCTTGCGTGTTTATTCTTAGTGACCACTGGGCGACAGCTCTTCCTCTTTCACAGCTAAGGAAACTCAGTGCTTAGGTGGTTCGTCCGAGGTTACACAGTGATGGAGTTACAGTACACCAGGATTTGACTCCAGACTTCCAGCTCCTGGGTATTTGTTGTCTTTGGTATCTCCTTCCTGCAGAGCATATGCCAAACAAAGGAGAAGGATTGAGTGGGGTTGGGACAGGCAGAGCTATAAATGCTGCTGCTTTATATTTTTACATAACACTAATTATTAACAAGGATGTCACACCCGGCACCCTAAAGAAGTACTAGTTATTCAATAAAAAACTATGCAAGCAGAAAACGCCACTTCATAGTTGAATTTTCTCTTAACTTTGAAATGAGATCTTCATGAAAGCCTCATAGACTCATAGGGGAACTGTGGGTTATAGCCAACATTGGCCTCTTGGGATAATTCTGGGCATGAGCTATTTGGGGTGCACTCTCACCTATATCAGAGAATGTGGGCCATTTGGAATATAAAACATTGGGATTTCCTGGGTACATTTTGGAGCCCTCTCATTAGGCCACAGCACTGGGACACTTAGGCAGTAAGTATGTCAGCTGCCAGCCTAAAGTTCCTATGACAGATGTGATCTAGGAGGAGGAAAAGAAACATTCTTTTGGGTACGCCTAATACCCACCTTGGACTTGAGGCACAGCGGATATGTCAGCAGACTGGCTGTCTGATAATGGAGTAGAGTACTTTTATAACCTCCGAGTGACTGGAGATTTACAACAATTCTCAAAGGCACTTGGGCCACCTCTCTTTAACCTTTTCAGGGTACCATCATAATTTCTTTTTTTGGGGTCTTTTTCGTTTTTATCGGTACCAGGGATCAAACTCATGACTGCCTGCTTGCAAGGCAGGCGCTTACGCCACTGAGCTAAACCCCCAGCCCCCCATCATAAATTTCTTTAAAACACGTAACTTTTTGGCTTCCTTAAATAATGTGAAACACTGCGAGTGTTGACAAAGGACCAAATTTTTTCTTCTTTGATTGCCCTTTGAATTTAACACTTAGGAAAGTCAGCTTTTCTGGAAACAGTTGCTGCTTACATTTCTGAGTGCCGAAATTCCCCAGAAAATTTATAAAGTCCATTTAAAAAAATTTTTCTCTCAGTTAAGGAGTGGTTGTTGTCCCTTACTGGCACAATTTTGCAAACAGATTTAAGAGAAGTCAAATGAAATTATTTTAGGAGTGGACAGATCATTAAATTAAAAACTAATTTAATAAATTAATTTTATTAAATTAAAAATTAGTCATTAAAAACTTAATGAGTCATTAACGAATTTAATACTTTGCTTTGTGCCTATTTCTCAAGGGATAACTGCTTGTCCCTTATGACTGACGCCTGGTTTGTGCAGAAGTGTATAAGTAAAACGTGACTTTGAGGAGAGAAGAGGAAACATTTGCAATTTGAAAGCTTGTGAAGAAATGAGACTTCTAAGGGACTGGGTGTGGTCTGTACGTTCCAAAGACAGCTTTGGGAAGAGCTGTGGATTCTAGTCTCCATGTGGGGGAGCTCTCCTAGCAGGGCAGGGGCTGGGTGTGCACGGGGAGCAGAAGCTGGAGTGGACGGGCTTAAATATTCACCAGCTGTCTGGATTTTGAAATTTTTATTGGGGACCAGATGATCTGCCACAAAATGCTGGAAAATCGTCATTTCCCAAGAACTTTTCTGTAGACATTTTTTTTTTTTTTTGAAAAGGTAATACATGCAACATGGGAAAAATGCAATCAGTCTGAAAAGATATACAGGGGGGAAATGTCTGTTTCTCTCAGAAACAACATTGCTGCTGCCAATTTCTTATGTCTCTCTAGGGATTTCAACCTCACCGCCGTGGTGCCTCGCAATCTTGGAAAGTCAGCACCTCGAAGGTCCTCCTGCACGTTCGGCAGTTTGCTTAGTCATTTCCTCCTATTTTTATGCTTATTCATCCTGTGGCTGTGTTCTCCTTGACATGCCTTTTTTTTTCCACCCTCCTGTGGGGAGAGATAACATTCTCAGTACTTAAATTCTCATCTGATAAGTTTTATTTTTAACCAACCCGAGTCCTTTCCTCTTTGCTTCTTATATTCACAGCTCACACACTTCTCATCCTTCTCTGGCTTTCCCAGAAGGTACCATGGATCTGCACAGAGGGTTACACTGTGCCCGTCCGGGCTTTTCTGACTGGGAGCAGCTGGTTGGGAGCTGGAAACCTAGCCTGGCCTCCAAGGAACAGGAGAATTTCTCCTGTGCATGCCATGCAGTTTTAGCCTGATTTAGGCTGGGCCATTTACTCTTACCTCCCGCTTCCCCTCTGGCTGCTTGTAAATTTCCTTTTGTCAGTAAATTTATGTTATCTTGATGAAGGACACCCGCTTAAAAAAAAAAAAAAAGAAAACAAGACAGCTGTAACTTGCAATGATTAGCGCGGCCCCCAGCCAAACAGCAGTGGCCTTGTAGCCACTAAGACTTCCACAGGGTGACAACTGTGTCTGGAGTTTACATGATGATGTTTGGATTAACATTTAAGCAAAGTAGCTAGTAGCTCGCCCAAGTGGAGGGAAAGTGTACTTGGTTTTGTTTTGTTTTGTTGTCATGTGATCTCTAACCATGTCTTTCCCAGACAAATATGTTGGGAATAAACTTAACTGCTTAAGTATATATACATTCTCTCTTTTTTTTTTCTCCCCCTTTTAGTGTTGACCCACCACCCCCTTCCCTCAAAATGACTAAATATGGTTATGGGTGAAACTTTTCCAGGGAATGCCTGAGAGAGGAGAAAGTTTTTAACCTGGAGGGGGGGCTGAGGCATGCAGGGCTGGCTGCCTTTCCCCAGAGAGGGGTGTGCATGGGAATCTGCTCATGACTTGAACTTCTTGACCTTGAACTTCATTTTGTTTTCAATGGAATAGTTGTCCCTCAAGCCTCACTTAGCTTTGTCAGTCATTTATATATGATCACTAATCATTTTTCTAAAACAATGTAATGTTTACTTGGAAACAAAAGCTTTTTTAGAAACCAGATTTGTGACATAGCTTTATAGGATGATGTCTTACCAAAAGAATGAAGAATTACTAATAAAATCTATACACCTTGTCCTAGTGTACCAACAGAGAATCAGTGGCATTTTGGAGGGCCACTGAGATCTTTTTCTTTTAGCAGGAGACATATGCAGGTCAGGTAAAGGTAAATATTAATTTGCTAGAGCTCTGCTTGGTAAGATATAAGAAGTTTCAAGGATTAAGGGTAAAGCTTGGACCACTTGCCTAGCGTGCATAAGGCCCGGAGTCTGATCTTCAGCTCAGTCAAAAAAACCCTTTTTTTTTTTTCAAGAATCCTGAGGCAAAATAAATAAAGCAGTTATCTGAACAACATTAAACAACAACAACAACAAAAAGAATCCTGACTGTTACCTCTCCCTCCCCATATCTTGCTGGTCCCTAATGGCAGTACCTGTCTTGAATTTT